ACTCTAGGGTTGTAAGTCTTGCTAGTTTTCCTTGTCTGTGTTTTCAGAAGGGGGCTTGCAAAGTTACTGAGCTGCACTTTGTTCTTCTAGAGTAGCAGTTCCATGAACTCCGTGGACTTGGGAGTTACTATCTTTCCTAAATGTCTCCATAGGAAACTAGTATAACAAAATTCAAAAAGACCTTGAGGAAGGGGAATGTGATTTTGTTTTGTAGATCTCAAAATAAATGGATTTTGCCCCCTTGCTCTCTTACCCATACACTCACCCGCACCAAGATGTGTGCATCTCAGTGGCCTGTGCAAGAAAGATGGTGCAGGGATCTCGATAAGAAATGCCTGACAACAGAAGGCTTAATAAATCAATTGTTTTAATAAAACAGAGTAAGGTGGGTATAGGGAGTGAATAAATCTAACATCCCTTCAGATATTAGGCATCTCACGTTTGTGCAGCGTTAGACAGACCCCAGATGGATTTCCCCATGGCACACTGCGCAGATCCTGTTTATGAGGGGAATCTATTTTCTTACAGGAACATGATTCTGTTCCTAAAGGATATTAAAACTTCCTGCTGCACATGCAGATAACGGCAGGGCCAGGCCTGTGGTGCAGTCACTGGTACCGAGCAGGAGCTGACTGCAGGCTCCCCTGTTACAATCTGCCAGGTAAGTTCCTCCTGTGGCCAAAGGGTTTGTGCACCATGGCACATGCAGCACAGCACCACACAGAGCTGTGTATAGAAATTACAGATTAAATCGGTAGCATACGGGCTTCTCAGTCCCTAAGCACAAGGGCCAAGAGAGCAGACATGGCCTGTTAGATATCACCAGCTCCTCAAATGCCATGTCTTCTGCAAGGCTCCCAATACATGGTCCCCTCTCTTCCTCCGTAGGGGCAACTCTTGACCGTCTGGGTTTGGATGGGAAGGTAAGTTTTGCTAATATCTTGTGAGTGAAGTCTCTCACCAGGGGTATCTGTGAGCACCTGGGTCTTTGACAGGGCTCTGACAGCACGGGAAGATCTCGTGATGGATGAAGCCAAACCACTGTGCCTTCGGCAGTGCCGATCCTCGCGTGCTTTGGAGGGAGGCCTGCGAGCCGCGCGCCGCAGCTGCACCGCCGGCAGGAGTTCCCTGCGCAGAACAACAGAGCTCGGCTTTGCCAAAAAGCATTATCATCCCTTTCAAACTCACGGGCAGGCTCCAAAGAGATTGTCCAATTGTTTTTAACCGGAAGCGTGTATCAGCCCTCACTGGCCAGCCCAAGGGGGACGGA